TTACCTACAAGAAACTTATTTATATTAATATTAATTAATTATATTAGTAACTATTACTAACTAATATTATACCTATCTACAATGAAGTACCTAAGTAAAAGAAAGAAGATATTTTACAACTTCCGCAACATAACTAATGAATCTTACAGGAAAAAATAATGAAATTATTTCAACATATCATATAATTGTGAATGATTAATTTCCAAAATTTCAGAATGAACGTAGGTAATAGGAACGGATTTCGAAATTTTGTCGATTAATATCCGATTTCAGTATACTTAGTACACTTGTATTTCTGTTGATGATATTACCTAAATGTGATTATTTTGTGGCATGATTATGTATAGGTATATCTATTTCAACAAAAGTTAGGTTATAATTCTTTGTATCTCAGTTTGAATGAATGAAACAACTAGTTTTTTGAGTATTTAGAAGAATATAAGTCTGAATATTGATTCCAAACAAGGTGATTTATATACCTATGCTTCAAATCATTATGTTTCGTGAAGTTTTCAGATTTTTGATTGTAGATTTACGATTCCCAAACAGAAATGAGATATTGCAACTGTTAGACTGAAATATTTTTCAATAATATTTATGGGGTGTGATTATTTGAATGAAATTTTGTAGAAATTTCTGAAAGAAGAAATATTTATTTTTCATATTTAATGACATTTACCGATAATTATTCATTTGTTTGTCAATGAAATGAGTAAACAGCGAGTGAATAAAGATTGAATTCACGATAAGTCACAGGAACCCGTTTTTTAATAGTTGGTAACGAATTGAAATCAAACTAACGAAGATCCTAACAGAGAGGAAAAAATAATAACAATAATGTACCTTGCGGCAGAACCGTACAAGTCGGTTGTCCGGTGGTGTTGACGTCCAAATTTATATACGACATCGGACAGTCGCCGTAGAACGGCTCGCCCGAGTTAGAGGCCACCATATCTAACACCTGTAGCACCATGGCGCCGCCGACGGTCTCCGTGTTTGTCTTTTATTTTTCGACGGAACGCCGATATTCGAACTCTCGCAATATTCTTCACGTCACTACCGGTTGTTTTCGACCGACGACCGACTCTACTCAAGCTTCGCCTCGAACTGGAAACGCGCAGATCGGCGGATTCGCCGCGGCCTCCTACTACCCAGTCGAGTCTTTGTTAACGGGAAGGCGGGGTGGGGAGAGGAGGTCGGGTGCTCCCACCGCAGCAAGCAGCGCTGTTTCATTCAGAGATTCGAGACGTGATGGGTTTTTAGGGGTAAAGCTGAGCACTTAGGGAATGCGTGGTCGCGAAGCGAGAGAGCAACAATTGGTTGTGTGAATTAGGTGATTGATATTTCTTGTAGAAAATTCAATTTTTACCTTTTAAATGTTTAGCTAACAATATTTGGGAATGGATATGAACAAACGCTGCAAGAAAATTTTCAAGGTTGACGTCTAGTATTAGTAGTTTATTAATCACTAAATTACATGTATTTATAAAAGCATACAATAGAAAAAAATTGGTGATTAATTAGATATAATAGAAGCCACCATATATATTGCAATAAACATATCTTTTCAACTTTCTCTGAACAACCGAGTATTGAATGCACAGAACTCGAAGATCATAGAGTGTTATCATCTGAATGATATCGTCTATTTTCTAGTCTATGGAGCTATCTACCTAGTTCATTGAAATGTTACATTTTTTAGGTCTAAGCGTGCGTTTTTCAGAGAATGCAATTTTGTTTTTTTTATGTGTAGGGTGTTTAGTATAAGTTTAAGTTTGAAGGGGCCGCAACCCTTGTCTCCCGGCAGCTATATTGGAAAAAGGTGTGCAAAGTGTTTTCGCGTTGTATCTTGTAAACTAGCAATCCTACAGAACATTTCATAGGACATTATTTGTAGCAAATTGAATTGTCTACAACTTTTTACCACCACTGTTTATATTATAACAAAAATACCTGAACATATTTGAACAATTCTTTTTTGGGCAGTATAACTTGTTTTCAGGTCATTTTACAATAAAATGGTATCAGAGTAATCTCATAGAGAGTTTTTCAACGAATAATTTCCACTAAAGATTTGTTCAATTTCATTAATTCATCTGGGTTTTGCAGTGCATCGAAGATAACCACCATCGATTCTTACCAGTATTCAAAAACCAGGTGAACTTCGTAGCGCTATAAAACCCAGATAAATAAATGGACTTGAATACATTTGTAGTGGAAATTATTCGTTGAAAAATTCTCCATAAGATTACTCTTATGTCATTTTATTGTAAAAAGACCAGAAAAAAAGTTATAACGCCCAAAAGGAAATTTGTTCAAAAATTTTACGATAGAAAGTAATTACAATGAAGTTGTAAACAATTCAATTGGATAAAAATAATGTCTCATAAAACTTTCTGTAGGGTTGCATCCCTTTTACCAAGATGGCAGCCGGGGGACAAGGGTTGCGTCCCCACAAACTCGTATACTTCAGCTTATACTAACCCCTCCTACATACCAGAAAAACTAAATTGCTTACATTGAAAAACGCAACCCTAAATGTAACTTTTCAATGGACTAATCTCAAATTTACTTTACTTTAACAACTATCCATAGAATTGTTCGAGAGCAGAAAGTTCATGTGAATATTATTTTAAAATATCACTTTCGTAAACATATTTTCGGAGCTTAAACTATGCCCATCTGGTAATATTAAAAAGTATTCATGCACTTGCCATATAGTTTATAGGAAAACAATTTTATGATGATTGACCAATATCCAACAAAACAATCTAGCAATGTATATGTCCAAGAATCAAATAAGTAAAATAGAAATTTTTGTCTTGGTGACTACAGAAATTAAACATTTTTTTTACAAAATTAAAAAGGAAAATACTACTTTCGTTTCTTTCATGTCAATAGTACTTCGAATTATACTTCGTTTGAGAAACTGTAGCATTTCAGCACTTATTAGGGTGCACGAAATAAAAAATTGTTTTTTTTTTTTGGTGAAATTCAGGAAAATTTTCAATAACAGCCTCGACTATTATTATTCGTGAATATGGAAGAAAATCACATTTATTTTCATAGTAGGTATCTAAGCTCAATTATATCAGTGCATCCACCACACATATCAATGTGGAAATAATAAAAAAATAAAAAAACATTGAATTAGAATATGTTCATAACTGAAAAAGAAAGGCTGACTGACCTAAGTGATATTATTCGCAGAAATAGTTAACATTAATAATACAGCAAAAACCATAAACACTTCACAAAATACACAGCAATTCAATAGATAAACATAGCACCAGTATTGCTACATTCACACAGAGAACATCTCGAAATCTAAATGAGTGTCACGTCTCCAGTCAATGTCATTAATGCCAGTTGTAGGCGTACGTCAGACATCAAATTCAAAAACAAGGAGGCATATGTTTTCAGTTATATCTTGTATATGAAAATTATGATAATTTATGTGTTTATTCATAAGTTTATAGCTACTCAGTAAATGCATGACTTACAATGCAGTACATCACTTCATTTCAAAAATTTATTTTTATTAATTTATCCACTGGCTCCCTAGACCTTTGAACAAATTTCTATAAGGAAATAAAGGCTGATGCAACATCAAGATTTCAGAATAATTGGCTATTGAGTGAAAAATATATCACACTAACGACTACGAAAAAATTTCAAAATTGTAAGTCTATTGTCTTGTATTCTGTGAAATCTCGAAAACTTGATTTTCTAATCTTTAAAAAACTGCACGGCTATGATCACTTATATGAATTTTGGTATTTCGTAGACAAACACCGTATTGCTTATTTTCATTCTGTTGATTATGTGTTTGAATGAACGTACGAACTATGTTTTCAGTCTGATCAACCCAAGCAGGTTCCTTATGAAATAAAAATTAGTCAAGTACCTCCTTATACGACTTCCGATAGTTAGTCTACAGGAAATTATCATCGTGACTATCATATTCATTGATTGAACCGTTTATTATTATCAGGCGAGTTCAAAAAACTAAACTTCACATATACGGGGTAGTTCTGAAAGTAAACTATCAGAAGTGACATACATTTTTGCTTCTAACGCGGAGAAGAAGCAAAATTTTAATTTATTCACATACCATAATTTACAAAATTCACATGTTATAATTTATAAATTTTATATTCTACTTCAAAAACGAACAACCCACCTAAGCAACTCGATTGCTTGTGTTGCCTTGAAATGTATTTGAGAAGTGCTTTAAGTGTTTCATCAAGACTTAGTGGTAACAGATCAACTACATTAATATTGAGAAATACAAAAGAAATAAAAGGGGAAAAAAAGATGAAATAAGATAATTAAAAATGAAAAAAAAAGTTATTCATGATTATGCAGATAATGACAGTAGAAGGAAAAATACGACGGCAAGAGTGGATGAGGTGTGTGATGAGGATTTGATTGTAACAAACAAGAAAGTGGAGAGGTGATATTATCAATAAGTTTTTGGTGTTTGGAACCTTTGGTGTAGTAATGAATATTACTGGAGTTTTTTCCCAACAGCAAACCGTTATTTTACCACCTCGACACGTGTTTCGATCACCAAGTGATCAACAGGAAGATCAGATTGATCTTCTTCTTGATGATGATTAGGTATTCATGATTATGCAGATAATAACAATAGAAGGAAAAATACGACGGCAAGAGAGGATGAAGTGTGTATTATCAATGAGTTTTTGGTGTTTGGAACCTTTGGTGTAGTAATGAATATAACTGGAGTTTTTTTCCAACAGCAAACCGTTATTTTACCACCTCGACACGTGTTTCGATCACCAAGTGATCAACAGGAAGATCAGATATAAATTTTTTTCATAGTGTTTTTGACTTTGGCAAGGAGTTTATAGTTTTTATGTCATGTGGCAGAATATCTTTGTACAGTTTTGGTACATAAGAAAATATATAACGCTGTGTGTGTGCTTTCCGAAAAATTGGTGATATGAAAGACTTATTTACAGCGAATCTAGTTTGCTTGCGTTTAGGAATCGTATATTTTTGTTTATTATGGAACATCCAGATCAATGACTGATATATAATTCTCTTCAATATCCTTGTACAGCTGATTGGTAAAATAAAGATTTATTTTTAGTAGGTAACGAGTTTTGTGTTGACTGAAGTTTACCCAATGCATTATCGTACGGACCTCCCCACACTGATATGCAATATTTAATAACTGATTTCGACCAGGAAGTATGGAAAGATTTTTTTTGTTCAAGATCTCTCTGATACTATAAAATTTATGGATCAGTTATGGGTCACGTGATCATCCCACCGTAGATATTGATCCATTATAATACCAATATATTTCATATTGGGTGTTTTTTCTATATTTGGGTAAGTGAAAATAAAATGGAATATTATTGGGGACTTTAAAACTTTTTCATGTTATTGAAAAATTTGCTTTTTTGTTACGAAAAAAAATTATCGCTCCTTCTGTTATTGTTCCAGTTGCGGAAAAGTATCTTCAGGTTAGGTTTGTAGAGGTTAAATTGAGTGAATTTGAACTTTGTTTTTGTGTCTTCAATGATAGATTCTTACTATTTTCATAGTAAGAACTATTTTCATCAACCAACGCACTCACTTTGGCCAATTTGCGACATAACATCGTTTCGGAGCGATAATTAAATTAACCGCAAAATTGATTCTGTTATCAATGGTTTATTTCTTTCCTGTTGGAAGATTCTTATCGGTTGTGGTATGTTATGGTTTTTTTTATTTTGCCACGTTGCGTCATGAGCTAACTAGACTGATTATTTTAATCCTGATATAATACGGAAATTTTGAGTAATCCAACGTTTTTTTACAAAATATAATGGAATCCACTGTTATAGTTTTCAGTGGGTTGAATTTCAAAGAGTCAGGAATGTGCTTTATAAAATAATTACCTAATAAGTTACAGTTAGCAAATAAAAGTAAAAAAACTGACCCTATACGAGTATATGTTATTTTTAACAAAGTTTTATTTCATCTGTCAATATGCTTTGTTGAAGTGTATATTGTAAAATGCACTGAATATACTGAATTTGTTTCATTATAATTATTTTGATTATGATTTTTTAAACCTCAAGTATTCCTATTGACA